ACATGGTGGTCACAACTCTACTTATGAAGGCAGAGGTGGAGATGCATTTTTCAGTGCCCTGGTGTATGGGATTGACTACCCTGGAGGTGAGTGTGAATGGCTTCTCTTCCTCAGGCTGAGTGGCAGTACCTGAGGAGCTGCATCACCAAACCTGCTGAAGGTGTCCTCCCCTGCCTTTAAGTAAGCTGGTTGTATTTGTTGTGAGCCTGGCAGTCTGTAAGGAAGGGGAGAGTTGACAGAGCACTTTACTTTTCACCTCTCTAATAGAATTCCTTGCCAGTTGGGCAGGGAGGGCTGGTTTATAGTTGTTTTTGGGGTTTTCCCCATCAAATGGAATTTGTTGTTGTCTTCAGTAGTGTATTTTTTGAGCAGTCCTGCAATTTTGAAGCAAATCTTGTAACTAGTTCTTACTGTATGCTGATTGAAATCAGTAGCCCTCAGCTTATCTGAGGGAAACTAAATGGGAAGTTTTATTCCAGGAGTCTACAAAATTGTCCTTTGTCCAACACTGAGCCATGACTGGATATGGTGGATACGTCTGATCCAGGGAGTCCTACCTAAATTGAAATGCTCTGAATCTTACAGGGGTCTATGCATTATATGCGTATGCTACGGGGTCTCAGCATTAACTGCTTTGATTTAGTGGTCTGCCAGATTATCTGCTAATATTTCATTATTGTTCCATAATACATCACTATGTTTTATATGCCTTCATTTCATGTTCTCATTCCATCTCCTATTCAGTCTTCATGTATCATGACATACACTTTGTAGAGCTGCTGTGTAGGCATAAGACCCAGGTTATTTTGAACCAAAGAGCAAGAAACCCCAAGGAGAAGGATCAGCCTAGAGAGCACATTGCCAAGGACTCCTTTTCCTTGTTTCAGAAATGTGTCAGTTCATATATTTTGTGTGCAAGAGTAACAGCAAGAGACATCAGTCCTCAAATAAGATGATCTTGAGTAGATGAAGTTTTTTGATTTCTATAAGCTGCAGTTTAAATTCCATGTGAAAGGCAAAGCAGCAAAATCAGTCTCTTCATGTAGATTTTGTAATATTCAATTACATGAGCTTAGTTGTGGCCATTTTTTTAGTAATCTAAACACTGAGTTGTATTACTAATTTCTTTTTTTAAAAGGATTTAGATTCCAGTCTATGAGGATGACATGCTGTCCCTGATCAGGACACGATGAAGGAATAAACCATGGTGACGTTTTCATATTTGAGATTAAAAGAAGACACACATCTGCCAAATGCAAGCAGAAGGAAAAATCTTGTTACTTTTTCTAAATCCTCTGAAAGCAGCTGGATTTTTAACTTATCCAAATTGTGAAATTTTTTTGAGATTAATGTCCACATAACAGTGTAGAGAAGTACAGAATATCATAAGAATTCAGGATGTGTGCTGGTCTCATAAGAGAGAAGTCAGAAAAAAAAAAGCAAGAGTGCATTTTCTCTTGAGTGGAATAAGCCAATTACTTCCCTTTAACTTCACCCTCATGCAGGCACTTGTCTAAAAACAGCAGATGTTTACAGTTACTGACTGTGACTTGTTTTTCTCATTTATTCTGGAGAAATTTTTTGCTTTACCAGGTTTTTCCTGCACAAAATCTGAGCAAAATTTAAAGGGTCCACAGTGTCATTAATTACATTATTTCTGCTGTCTCCACTAGCTCTTTAACTACTTCAGCTGAGCATGAGCATTGAGAATAATGTATCTGGACCTGGAAGATGTAGAGGAGATTTGCACCCCTCTGTCATAAGTATCATGATGCTCCTGGCTGGCTGGCTTATCTGGATGGCCTTGGAGTCCAGGCACAGTAATGGGGCTAGTGAGATGAAGCTATTTGTTAGCTTCTGAAGCACTAGGAAAGTAATAGTGTTTGGTTTTCCCATTTGGAAATAAAAACATTGTCAAAGAGGCACCAATATATGCAGCAGTGTAGTAGATACATTGTCATCAAATACAAAGGAGGTGCTCATTTGTAGACTTCAGTTCTGTACAGTTCTTTTGTTACAGAACCACATAGCTGCAAACAGTGTGATTTTTTCAAAGTTGGATTTGTTTGAAAGATGTATAGTTCTCTATGGAATGCTTTGTACAGGATATTTTACACACTGATTTATGGAACTCTGATCTCTGCAAGATTTGTGGATGTTTCAGGAAAAAATACCCGCAAGGCAAATGTATATATCTAAAATGAAGTTAACTTGGTTAGCTTCATCTGGTAGCAGAATGGTAAACAGCCAAGCTGTACCCAGCCTTACTCTAAATTTGCTCTGGGTTACACCTACTAGGGTCTTATCATTATGAGCATGTTGGCAGTGACAGTATGCAATGCCTATTTCAAAGAGATTGAACAAATAAAACATGTCCCTAGATGGATTTAAAATGTAGAGTGCCCCTTTCTAGTTTTCTATAGCTTGGTGACTCAAGATGCGGCACCAAGAAAGGAGATGAGCAAATGTTGAATGATAGGAGATGGCAGCTATGGTTGGCTTAGAGAACTGTTCTGCCTCTGGCACTTTGGATCATGAACTTCATCACATGCAAGAAATGTTAACAGCTCGGCCTGGGGGCTTTAGCAGCTCTGAGTGTCTTTGTGGGTTTGTACTGACAGCTCCCCTCCATCAGTATGCAGCGATTGGCATGCGGGGGGCTCATGCAGGAGGGTCTCAGCCTGCTATTCTTGTGCAGAAACACCATGATGGGCATTTGAGTGACGTTTTAATTTGATAATGAAAGCACCATTAAATCAGAAAAGAGAAAAATGCCTGTGTTTGTGGCACAAGATATTTTGTGTGACCACTGAGGTCATTTGAGACAGGCCTGCTGTTGAAATAGTTATACAAGTTTGCCAGCAATGACTCACTACAGTGGTGGCTGCAGATAAATTCCAGTTGCTTTCTATTTGTTTTTGGAGGTTTTGGTAAGAGGGGTTTCTGTATGTTGCCTAATTATTAAAATTCTTAGGATTGCTTGAAAAAAGTTAAAACTTCCCACATTTCTTCATATCTGAAATGCTTCAACAAGCTATGATCAATATATCCTGCTGTCACTTTTGACTGTCAGAAGGGGATATAACATACCTTAACATCATTAAAGCCTTTTGTTTTCTCAGTCTTTCATGTGCCTATTTATAAAGAGATCCTGACTGGCATAAGAATGCAAATCATTTTGGATGCGCCTTTCTCAGATGTTTTCTCATCTCTGTCATTTAAAGAAATGTATTATGATACCACATCATTACCTATGGAAAGCAAACTCATGGATTTGGGTTGTGCTAGATAATGTTGCACCTGTCTCTTTCTTTCCATGTCTATATCATATGTTTAGAGATATCTATACTTCATTGTAAACAATTGACAGTGTAAATGGCCAAATATATTGTTCTTCCATCCTACAGATGAGGAATTTTGATAGTAAAATACTGCATATTTGGACCATAACCATGCAGGATATCTGTAGCAGAATTGAACAGGATCCTTGTTCTTAAGCTTTTTATGGTGCTTTTTAACTTAAAAGGTCTTACGAAATGAAATACTTACAATGATTATTTATCTTCTCTTTCTTTTCCAGCTGTTGAAGGTTTAGATTTTTATTCAGCAGAAATAGATTTTATTCTTTGAGAGCCACAGAGATTCTGTATGTATGTATATATTCATAATTGCAGGGGTTCTGTATACAGAGAGACCATTCTGCTATAATTTAGAAGGTAGTTTATGCACCTAGTTGTAAAAAAAAAATTAATTGTCCATGCAGTTGCAACTGGCTACTGGCCTCTTGAGAGGTAATGCAGGACCAGTATAAGAAGAACAGTTACTCCCAGTTCAGCATGGAGTTACTGTCCTTCCTATACGTGATTTTCAAACTCTGAATCCACGTTCATTGCAGGTAGTAGTTGTTCGCTAGTTAAGTGATAATGGTGATGTCTGGGAAAGAACATGATTAGGATGATAGTGGGCTCTTCAGGACTGATTTTGTGGTTCTGCTCTGTGGGGCTGCACTGTCATCTTCATTTGAGTGCTGCTGTCAAACTGGAGGAAGAAACCTTTCATCACTTGCCTGTTGCTGATAATGATGCAGCAGGAACAGTGATATCGATGAGTCCTTGCAGCTTCCACTGAATGTTGAGCGTGGAACTGTAAATGCTTTCTTGGTTGTTCTTTGAAGGAATATTAACAATCCTCATATTGTGGATGACACTTAGGTATCTAATGTTACTTTGAAAGCACAAGTGAATTAATTAACCCCTGGAGTGCTTTAATGAAATGGATGAACGTAAAAATTTTGCAGGTGGTGAATAGGGACACAAAATTAAATGTTTTTTACAGGTAACTCAGTAGACCTATGGTAAATGCATGTGCTGTACTGAATCTGTAATTAAGTCACTACTCTTGTTTCTGTACAGAAACTGAATGAAAAAATACACACATATTCTCAATTTGGCCCAAGAGTCACTAGCCAAGGTGAATTAAGATGCACCTCAACAAAGCAGCAGCAATGTCATCTCTTCCAAATACTGAAGGCACTCATCCCTTGATGATACCCTGCCAGTACTGCTTTTAGTTTTGTTTCAAATTCCTGGAACTGTCTTTAAGTGATCCTCTAAATAATACTTTTCTATAATTTTAACTTTGATCATGACTTAGAAAAATAGCCAAAGCAAAGTGCTGTTTATGTCTTTTTTTCCTTTTGAAAGGTTGAAGTCTAAAATGGTTATTGTTATTTTTCTTCCATGAGCTTTACCTTGCTAGCTATGAAAATCTTTCAGCAAAACTAGTGGTTTAGTGGTATTTCAGCTATCTTTACTTTTTATTTATCCTTCTTTTGTTGTTCTTCTGTGATGCCATAGTGCAACAAATAAATAATGGTTTATGTTTGCAATTACTCCCTGCGGCTGTTTTCTGCAAAGCTATAAGGAGAAAAATTACTTGGATGATTGCAAAAACTAGTTCATAGCCAGGAGAGTCCTGATTCTGTACTTGTTTTTTCACAGGCCTCCAGAGCTGGCATCAAAGTATGCCAATTTCTCTGAGGGAATGTGCAAGCCAGGCTATGCATCAGCGCTCATGACTGTCATCTTCCCAAAGTAAGTAATCACTGTGGGAGTTTTTTCCCCACTTCCCCCAATGACTTCTCATCCTTCAAGGTGGGTGATAGGCAGAGTTTGTCTTGAAAAGTGTCATTACTCTGTCACTTGATTGACTCACAGAGAGACCAGTGCTGAAATTCTGGACAGTTTGAGTGGTCAGTGGCAATGGCTTCGTTGACTTGAGTCTGACTAGGACTTTGCTCAAAGAGTAGAGACCTCTGGGTACTGAGTAATAAAACAAATTATGTTGTCATTGCATGATACAATCGTGTGCTCAAGCTCACTGCTAGTACCAGATGATGCAATGCTTAGGGAGCTTTGGTCATGGTTAAGTTATCTGGAGTAGATAGTAAAGTGTCATGTTTTGTTGTAGTTGGTTTTGGGTCTTTTTGTTCTTGGGAGAACAGGGTAAAGCATCCTTCAGGTGCCTGGAGTTTATAGAATTGCTGGGAGACAGTTCAGAAGATAGATTGGCAGGAACATTAGTCTGTTGACACTCAAGGATTTCAGTTTGGTACATTGAATGGAAAATTTGACCAAACAGTTTGACCATTGTACAAGCTTCTTGTACATGTGGAAGAGATGCTCTAGTGCAATCATCTCTTTGGCAAAAGAGGTTGTGGACTTCTTAACATAACTGGCACTTTTCCAAAAGAGGTATTTTACTTCTTTTGAGGAGGGAATTTCCATGACCTGTGCATCTAAAGGTTAGGTTGAGTGATCATGGCCTTTAAGCCAAACCTGAAACTGGTGGTATCTTCTGTCTTTGTTTTTGTTGACTAGCATGGTGACTGAAAGCTTTTTTAAAATAAAAAAATACATCTGACATTGCCTTGTAACCAATAGATACTACAGACAAGCCTTAAAAACAAAACACAACACTAAAGTTCTCCATCATCAGTGTAAACCAAACAATTATCAGTATTATCTTCTGTGAGAATTTTGGAACTTTGGATAGAGTATAAATACTAGAACTGAAACTGAGTGTTTTTAAATCTGTGTTTGTGTACATACTAAATGTAAATAGTACAGAGTAGGATGAACTCACTATTACAAAACTATTAATCTTATTTTAATTTGAAAAAGACTTTGGCTTTGAGAAGGAGCTTTTTAGCCTCCTAGAACTAAAGTGATATTTATTCTCTCCTCCAGCATCTGCTAGCAGATCTCTGTTCAGTCACCTTCTGCCAGTAGTTGACTGCATTGAACTAATTCCATGCAAAGGGGTATAAACATGTCTCTAGTCAAAGCAAGTGTTCATACATTGAAAAATTGTATTCACAATTTTAAAGACAGCAACTCACCAGGTATTTATGTTCAGGTGCTTGTTTAGTGTGGACCCTAAAACTCAACTAATGTTGACTTTTTTTCCTGTGATGTCTTTGATTTCTTTACAAATTTAATTCAGTGTAGGACATTTAATTATTTTACCCAGTTCTGCTGTAAGGATGGATGACCAGTAGTTCTGAAAAAATCATGCTGCACTTAAAATTCCTTCCCTTCTGCAAATTTCCTTGTATTCAGAGAACTATGAAAATTAATGTTACCAAGGAAGGTATTCAATATATTTAGAACTCCTGAAGCCAAATTATAATGCCTGTTCATTTAAAGATTCGAGCTGCATGATTTGTTTTATTCTAGCTTCTGTTTGCAGTTGATTGTGTCATTAGGAAACCATCATTTCTACAACTGACATTTTTAGGCGTGGTCTTTGTGGGAAAATGTGTGTTTTTGTTGGGTGTTTTTAATATTTGGATAAAGTTGGTCTGGCTGTTTTCAAGCATGAATAAAATGAGTAAATGTTTTCCCATTTTAAGGTTCCTGACTTTTTAGTGCAATTTAAAATGTAAATAGGCAAAATATGGTGGAAATAGTTGAAATAGACTAAGTGTTTCTCAGAGGATGTAGCTCTTCTTGATAAGTGCTTTTTTACTGGTAAAAATGAGAATTCAGACTTTAGCAAGCATAAGCATTGCTGGATGGATTAAAGAGCCATAGCCTGAGAAATACCAAAAATGTGGTTGATGGCAAGGAAAGACTAAGTGTTTGTTTGTTTGTTTTAATGTGGTCCTCAGTCAACCAGTTCTCATTCTAGCAATGCTTGATCCCTTCATCAATAATCCTATCTGGAAAAAATCCTGGGTTGTGAGTACTAAATAAAGGGTCAGTTATTTCTAGAGAACAATCTGGATTGCCTGATTTAAATGGCCACAGTCCAACAAAATATATGTTAATATATCCAACATGAAATAAAACATCTGGGAGGAACAAATACAGATTTTACCTCCAAGATAGAAAAAAATCCTCTGTCTTGGAAACAGACAGAGAAATCTTCATGTCATCTTAACAAAATACCATTTCTTAAGTACTATTTCATATGTGCACAAAAAAAGTGTACATATGCACAATTCACTTGGAGAATTTCGTGTGAAACACTGACTTAAAATACAAAAACCTCACAATCCAAGATTTCTAGACTACTGTGTCCAGTTTCAATGGTAAAGTGTGAGAAGGGAGAGGAAATAATAGATGGAAGAAAAGCCACAAAAATGAACAATGACTTGCTTAAACAGTAAAGTAAACAAGACTCCTAGAAATAAGTCATCTTTCTGAAGCAGAAGTTGTATCCAAATGAGGAGAATAGGAAAGAGCTTTAACTTTGGCAAGTTAAATATAAACCATAATGAGGTAGAGCAAAAAAAATGTTGAGGAGCAACTTTGTAGAGACATTTAAAAAATAATAAAGTTTTTTGTCTAACTGTCAAAGGCAGAAAGCCTGTCAGAGATCCCGATGAGCTGATAGGGGTTCTTAATATTACATGTGAGCTGAGGGAAGGTGAAGCTGCAGCAGAGAAGTTATTTGCATTGCTATTCACTGCAGAACAGTTCCCATGTGGACCCTTCATTGCCAGGGGACAGGCTGGGGGAATGTGACAGAAGCTTGACGTTTTGGAGTGAATTCCAACACAAAGAATTGCTAGAAAAAGTTCTCACTTTGTGAGGAACTCGGTGTTGAATTTGCAGAGTTACACACGGTTGTGTGTAATCATTGCTTCAATTGGCCTGAGAATGGAAGAATGAAAAGCAGCAAACGTGCTGGGCTTTTCAAAAAGGGTCTGGGGTGTTCTTTGGGAAAGTGGAAGCTAAGAGCAAGCCTGGTTTCTGTATCAGCTCCTCTTAGAACCTAAAAATAAAGACTAGAATTAGTGTTTGTTCACAGATAAAGAGGAGACAAGTTGTTTTCTGCAGCAGGAACTTCTGCCCTGTAAATCTGCTTGTTTTGTTTCAATGCCTGGATCAGCATGTGATAAAGGTGATTTAACTAGTACAGCACATCTGGATTTCTTAAAAAAACCCATAATATACACATACAAAAAATGCCCAAGCAAACAAACCCCTGCCCGAAAAACCAAATCCAACCAAACATTTGCTGTTTGAAAGATTTTTGGAAAGTTAAACTGGTGTAATGCTGTAGTGATTATATAGTGACTAGGTAAATAGTGGAAACTGTATGGAAAAAATAAGAAGATTGGACAGTACAGGGATGTTACTCCTGGAGTCTTCTGGAAGAAAGTATGCTGGGATCTCTGCTCTACCAAGTGCTCATAAACTACCTGGAATGGAGGATGAATAATGAAGCACTAACACATTTTTCCAGGTGGTAAGACCAAAATTTGGCTTTGAGGAATGTCAGAGGGATCTCACAGTGGTAAGTGGTGGGGCAAGGAAGTGGCAGGCCAAATTCAGTTCTGATAGAGAAAAGACAGTGTTTGTGGAGAAGACTGATCTGGCAGTTCGTGGTGGGTGGTGGACTTAGTTGTGCCTTAGTTATACTCTGTGAAGCAGAGCAAGTAGAGGGATTCACAAGTCTGATAACATAATGAATTATGTGGTTTGACGAAATTTGGAGATATTAAATGCAAATATTGTGCTCCAGGTTTAAAATAAATAAAGGTAAGTGCTATTTCATGCTATTTCCAGTTATATTTTTCTGCAAATGGGCTCCATAGTGGGCAAAATATTTTAAAAAATAAAATATATTCTTAAGTATTCAGGTATGAAACTCTCTAAGTTGCATCCTAAATGGATGTTGAGGGCAGCATGTAGCTTGATGTAGTCCCTTTTTCTTAAGGTTTTTACTGGAGTGTTGTGCTGTGGACACAGACATCAGGTGTTGGACAAAATGGATGTCTGGTCTAATCCCTTGCACCCATGCCTTTCTTTTCTGGGTTTTTTAATGATTGTGCCTTAAAGGCAGAGTGACATAGCTTCAGAAAAACATGCTGTACTCTGAGTCACGACAGTGGCTCCACACCAAGAGAAGTGGGTGCATGATCTCAGTACTGCATCTTGGTGTAAGGTCTGGCCAGCTGGGCTACGTCTGCTGCTCACTGTAAATGAAGGAGTTATCTAATTTCTCACTTTCCAGGACAATAGTATTCTGCCTCTTGCAAATCTCTCAACAGCAGATAATGACTCAAAGTGCCTGAAGTGAGGTTACTGGTTTCAGAATGATACAAAGAAAATGGCAAGTGTGTTTGGTAGAATGGCATCAGTAGGTTGGTGAATTAGACTACTATGTTCAGTGAATTACACTATTTTAGTTGGTCTGAGGTCACCTACAAGTCTGGAGTTAATGCTTTGACCTTTTTGTAGAAGGCACTAACTTGTATTTGCAGTGGTAACGCTGCAGTCTCCTGCGTGTCTGGCCTTGCTGTGGAAACGATGCTGCCTGTGTACAGCTCTTTCTATGCCCTATTCTTTGTCAAATGAGAAAAGAGATCTCTGCCCACGGTTTGTGGCTGACATGCCAGCCTGGGACAGTTCAGCTACTCAATACTCAGCTGCAATTTTCCAACCACAAGCTCTTGTAATTTGGCAGCTAATACTAAAAATTAGAGGAGGCGGTAAATAAAGAGGGAATGTCTGCAGCCTGCAGACTTGTGTATCTGTGTTTAGTAGGGGAACATGGCAAAGAATTATTTAAAGAGTATCTG